TAGAGAGCTAAGTGTGAATCCCAGTTGCGTCACTTACAAGTTATGAAAACTTAAACAAGTATGCAACCTCTCTGGCGAAGACCAGTAGGCAAGCCTCATCGGTAAACTGGATATAGCAGCAACTACCTCATTTGATTATGAAGATTAAATGAAACAATGCCTTGTACATAGCTATATCATTCAGCATCAGTATAACTTAGTTATTACTGTAGTTATTAAATTGATTGCATTTAAACATACAGGAATTAAAAGGGAGGGCTTGTGATCAGAGTGTGACATTTGGGCGTGGGGACTGGAGATATCATTATCCACCAACGGGGGAACCATTGCCTTTGTCATCCTCATTCATCTCTATACAAACCCAGCGAAACCACCTGGGCTTCTACATCTCCAACAGCAAAGGTCTTTCCTGCAACCGCCATGGGCTGTTGGGTCAGTTTCGGTGCCAGGATGTTAAATTCACAGAGGCGCCTGCAAGGCAGAGCAAGAATCAGAGGGCTCCTCCAGTTCCTCATGCTCACAAGAGGTCTGAGGCTGTCTGAAGGTGAAAGGGCACCGAGTCCCCATGGTCTGGATACAAATGAAGATCTACAGTGGGGCATTGGAGATCCGCTGCTTGCTTACCAAGAACAACGCTGCCAAACTGATTGATAGGATTATAAGAATTACCTAGCATCTCATACTTTGGCACAGAGACTAGGTTTGGCCTGGGAATGCCCAGGGGAATCTGAAACCAGTGGCCTTAACTATACAGGGAAATGGTCTGGGGGCACTGTAGTGGAGTTCTTCTTATTGCTTGTCTTCCCTCAACTCTTGGCAGTGAGCTGCACTCCATAACCCACGCTGGGGAGGATAGGTTTGCTTGGACAAAGAGTAGAGCCAAGAAGCTTGTATGAAACTACCTTCTGCGGCTGCCTGCCGGCCTTCTTCCTGCACTGAGGGAGGGACAAGTAGAACCTAAGGAAGTCTATGTCTAGTGCCTACTTGCTTGTCCTTCTCATAGCCTTCCATAGGGGACCCATCTGATGAAGGAACGTTGTCATAACATTTCTTCCCCTCTTCTTTGTGGAAATGGTCAAGGTGGGTGCTCTGCTTTTTGACTTATACTAATGTTTGGGAATCTCTGCATTCCCCAGAGGTGGGGCCAACCTCTGCCTCAAGGGGACCACTCACTGAGCCCAGACCCTGGGTTGTGCAAATGACTCATAGAGTTGATCATTGTAAACAATTAAATGTCTTCTTAGGAAGTTGGGGGGGGGGGATTAAAAAGGACGATGTGAGAACAAAAATGCAAACAATCAGCAAACAGACCACGCTAGTATATATGCTTTAAAATATCATCACTTCATATTTTTCTTTGGCAGCATTTAGTTTTTCATTTCCAACCTAGGAAGACAGCTATTACATATTTACTTGTGTTCATATGCACACCATATGCAAAAGGAGCACTAGGATAAAAGACAATTCCTAGTAAAACATTTGGAAGAATGGCAATCATCGAAAGCTTCAAAGTTATTTACCTTCCAGACATTGAATGACAGAAAAACCTTCATTAAGCTCTGGCAGGAAGACAAAGTAAAATGTACATCCTGCTTAGAGGCACTGCTGTAGCACATTCTCCGAATGTGGGCTGCTGAGCAAACATATGGGGCGGCCGTCCACAGCCTAGACTAAGTGCCTGTAGTCTGTCTACTGTTCTTCCAAGTGCGAATGTCAAATTAAAAAAGAAGGTTCAGCGTCCAGTTTCAGAGCTACTTTCTGTTCTGATAACCA